GCACAGAGGTCATCACGTCGGGCTCAAGCGCATGCGACAAGGAGCAGCAAGGCTCAGTTTTTAGAGGGTCTAGGGTCCCAGGGTTCTGGGGTTTTAAGTTTTTAAGGTAGGGTTTCGGCGCTCGCACTCGGACAATCCAGGCGAGGCATGTGGTTCGGACTCTGCTGAGTGAGACTTCACTAAGAGGAGCAGTCAAACATAAGCAACAATAGGGTAGGGTTTAGGGTTTAAGGCAGTGTTTCTGGTTGCCGTCGTGGTAGACGGCTGTCTTCGAAACGCGTGGGCTGTGAAATACACACATGCTCAGCTATTGTGCACAGTCCATGAACAATTTACGAATGAGCATGCGCGCGTAGTAGACACATACATATATTCCATGCATACGGACATTTGAAATCACGTAATTGTACACATGCGCCTCACATCTGCTGCTTCTTGTGTTTCTGCTGCCTTCGGGATGCAGTGCGCAGTCTGCACTTCCACAAGCTCGAAAGAGCTCGGCAGCGGTAGAGCACCGACATCAATTAGCAGCCATTTCGCCGCTTCGAGACGCAGACGTGCACGACCTTTTAACAAGGCCAAATTCGAGTTCAAACCATGGGCATACCAAGAGGGGCTCTTTAGACTTTAAACTCCTTTTTGAGCAACTCTGGTAAAGGCTCACCGAACTCGCTTCTGGTACCATGGGGGCTGGGCTGCCCAAAAAGATGCATGTGGATTGGGCCGCGAAAGCTCCATGGGAAGGGTTTCTACCGAGCTTACAAAAAGTTTGTAAGGTTTTCGAAGGCTTCTATACAGTCCTGCTTGTGTTTTGCATCGGGGTTTTGAGTACGCGGACGTTACAAGGCTTTTGCCTGTTTTGAATGAAGGCTTTCGGGCTTCACAGCAAGCTTAGGACTGCTAAGGCTTGTCAGGCTAAGGCTTACCTGAACCCCCAATAACCTACCTTTTGAATGCCTTATATAAGGAAACGATGGTAGGGAACCCTGTAGAGGGAGGTTTAAAAGGGTCCAGGTAGGCTTTTGAGGTGGTGCAGGGTCTCAGAGGTTTGGGTGTTTGAAAAGCGTGAGATTTCGGATTGAAGGGTTAGTGCTTCCAGGAGTGGAATTTCGGGTGTGTAGGATATTAGAACGTGGCGCTTAGGGCATAGGATTTGCGCTAGCAGGTATCCTTCATGCTTTGAGGACTTAATTTTGGAACTGAGCTTAAGTTTTAGGGGCGAGGAATAACAGTAGACCTGAAATGCAACCACAGGAGTCGGAGAGAACAAGGCACTAGGATGCGGCAGGCTGGAATGCCCTCAAATTTCAAACATTGTTTTGAGCGATAACCTACTCGGGAGGGGTGTAATCATGCATCTCGTGCTCGGTTGAAGGGGATCCCCCACCGAGGCTCCCAGCCTACTCCACATGACAGGGCAAAGCCTTCAACACCCTTCAGGAAACAGGCGACGGATTCGGTTCACTTCTCGTTCATGATGGTCCTGGTTGGGTCACCTGAAACAACAAGCAGTCATGAAAACCCAACTCAAACCCACAATTCAGATATCGCAGTGTAGAAGATAACGGTGACAGCCTGAGATATATACATATGTACATGTATGTATGAACATGTATACACGCACCTATATGGGTACATAATATATATATATATATATAGAAACAAGTAATATGTACAGTTGTATATGTATATTATTTACATGAACATGTCCCTGCATCTATCTATGTGCCTGCCTGCCGGTCTGTCTGTCCGTGCCTATACATTTGTATACATACACATCTCCTTATATAGAAATTTAATACTGCTACTGCTTGTTGTGCCTTGCACGCTACAGTAACCAAGACTTCATTTAGCGGGGCTTAACATGTGGGGAGTTCGTGGAACTAGGGTCACTTGTTCTATAGGTCCCCATAAATAACACGGCACCATTACAAAAAGAACCTTTAAAGGGACTCTAATGTGGAGAGCTACCCATGCAACACCGGGGTCAAACCCTATCAAGCCTTCAGAGGGGCCGGTCGAAGCCCCGTTTCGTACGTAGAGACCAAGGTCGTCTCTCCGGCCCATCCCAGAGGAAGAGGGTTTAGGGGTTGAGAGTTTAGGGTGACACCTGCCATTTTTACGGCCGAAGCTTTTAGCCCGACGTCCCGTAGCAAATCTCAAACCCTATGCCGGTCTTACCAGCAGACCACACGAACTGGGATCCGCATTCAAGAACCCCCTTTAAAAAAAAGGGACCGCATTTAGCGGAACCCTAGATTCATCTAGAGTCGGTTTAGAAAAGTCGGCTGCTGCCTGCACTCATTGCAAGTCCCTGCCTTTGGCTGGAGCACTGGGTAGGTGTTGCGTGTTGCGTGCTGCGTCTGCGTGTTTTGCAGAAGTTTTCACAAGCCCAGCCCTTTGGCCGCTAGCTGACTGCTATGTAATACTAAATGAACCAAAGAGCCTGAAACTCGAACCTCCAACGGGAGTTTCCAGGGTTCACGGTTTGGGATTTAGCAGGCTCCCTGAATTTGCCCTAAAGATGGGGCTCAGTTTCTGGAACACCGAATCCGAGAACCAAAACGCCGAACACCGGTTCTCCAACCTTCAATCAACTTCGTTCGATATTAGGCCGAAGCCCTGTCTCTACCGCCAATCTTAAGAACCGCATGTAACGCCATAAAGCCAGTAGAGTTAGACAAAATGGCGACAGGTAGGACACATCTGAATCTCTACATATCTATACATCGTAGGATTCTCAGTATAAGCCATAAGCTTCCCTAGACAAGCTACCCCCCCAATTTCAAAGACCCTCTCAACCCTTGCTTCTAAAAGTCATCTCAACAGACACACCCTTTCAAACCATTCGGACACCACAAAAAACACAAAAAGCACAAAACAACTGCTACGATCTGCTTCAGAAAGGCCAGTTGGGTTCTTGGCTTTCTCGAGCATGATCTGAGTTGGCTGATCGTTGGGATACCTGGCTGAACGGGTTTCGGCGCTCACAATCGGACAATCCAGGCGAGGCATATGGTTCGGAGTTTAGGGGTTTTGGGATTAGCGGTTATACTATGAGCAAAAAAGTGTGGGGAATATGGGGACTACAACGGGGTATTACCAATCTTTTTGCTGCGACCTCCATATCTCGGTTTGTTGGCTAGACCCAAGAGTAACCTAGGCACAAAAAGGGTGCCCTTTTTGGTTTAAAGGGGCTTATAAGGGAACCTGAACCCTAAAAAAGGGAATAAGGGCCTACTCTGGGTCCTAGTTGGGGATGAGGATCAAGGGCTTTAGGGCTCAACCCTAAACCCTAAAGACCAGGCTACAGGGTTTGTACCTCAGCTCTTGCTGCACTGCAGAGCTAGTTGAGAATCGTGCATCCACCTGCAGGTTTAATATAGGAGCCTCAATAATTGCCAATACTACTGTGGGGGTTCCAAAAAATATAATGGGCACCACAACCCTATTCTAATTATTAAGGCCCCTACATTACGGATTAGGGCTTAGCGCTTTGGCGATTCAGGTCTCTAGGGCTAAACGTATAATCAAATCAAGGCTTTTGAGCCTGGACCAAAAACAACATGTTGAGAATCTCCGCAAAAGTTAGCATGATAAGCAAGGCATATACCTCTGTTTTAACAGGGCCCAGTTGATAATGTAGAGGAGACCAGGTCCAATAAGACACAGCTCGAAGATCTCATTTCGTGAGGGGCTGAGTATCCTAGTCCAGCAGGGGATACCCTTCTGCGCTGAACTGTCGTAGGATTATCTACCCCAAAAAACAGAATCACAGTTCTGGGTTACGGGTCTCAAGCCATCTTAAGCCCTGAACCTTAGCTTTGGTTAGTAGGGAATGGAGGAATGGGGTACAATAAGAACTACTATTACTACCACTCTTCCATTCCCTACTAACCAAAGGTAAGTTATAGGAATATTAAGGCCCCTGTATTACAGTACCCCTTTAGATCCCTTATAGTAACCCTTATAGACCCCTTTATAAGGCCCCTTTCATCCCTACTAACCAAAGGTAAGAACCTCTGCTCAAGAAAGCCTAAAGTTCTGAACCAAAAGGTCCCAGATGCAGCTCTAAGATGTCTTGGCAGAGCTGTATACACTCCTCGTACTTGCAGGACCTCGGCTCTGCCGCAAGCGTTTTAGGGTTTAGCGTTTAATTAATGGTTCAGGGGTTCTTGATTTGTTCCATTGCCAAAGCCCGATCCGGAATAGTACGGACAAGCAGCAACTACACCACAACCCCCTCAACCCTACAAGAAAGCTAGTATTGTGAATAACAGAACAAGTGAAGAGGAAACATGTAGCGGCTTACCTCTCACACATGCGGAAGCAAGCAGGGTCCTGATACTGTATGATTACATGTCTGCGTACCCCCCAAACTGCATTCTGCTAAGAAATGGAACCCCGAACCCCTCAAACCTGAAATGCCGCAAGGGCTTTGAGGTTGGCTGTGTCACACATGGGAGTTTCCGAAAATCAGGGGTACCTTATTTGGGGGGCCTTGTTACAAGGATCCTACTATTTAGGGTACTATATTAGGGTCCCCTATTTTCGGAAACTCCCACATCGGAGAAAATGCAGCAGCTAAGGCTTAGGGCTTAGGGTGCAAGGTTTAGCAGTCTTTGGGTTTGGGAAAAAGCTGTAGCTGGAAGCTTCCATGTGCAAGTAAAACACGGACCTGAATAAATTAGAATACGGTTTGGGGGGTACACGGACATGTAATCATATAGTATCAGGGCCCATGTTTCTTACGCATCAGTTACTCAGACTTACCTGTTCCATTTTTCAACATAGTCCCAGCCCTCGGCCGGGGTGTAAGGTGATGGGTGTGTCCTGAAGGACCAGAGGCAGCATCAGGACCTTAGACTTTAATGATTATTCCTTGCGAGGTAGACTACTGGATAGTTCTATCAAGGAACCATGAGGGGATCTTATTATTGCTGCTTTGCGATCTCTGTATGAGTCATCACAGAGGCAAGGTATGGTAGCAATAGCCAACACTATTGATATGAAACGTCGGTATGCGCAAGGGTGATATAGCTTCTTATTCCAATGTCTTCTCCGAGCATCTTCTGTGCCTCCAAAGCCTTGTGATACCTTGGATCAAAGTCAGAAGCGTTGAGCGGGTGCAACCATGACCCAACAGCTTCACCAGGCAGTTCCGCAGCTCTGTGGGTCGGACAAACCTATGTCCAAGCGACATCTCACAAGTTCACTAACAGCCTCAAGGTACGCCGCATGCCTCGACAGAAGTCACGTGACTTCCATTCTGACTTGTGGGCTGCCATGTTGCATTTCCTTAAGATCGATCTGCTCCTGTGTGGCTGGGTCGCACAGAGGCGACATAGATGGGCTGCGCCAACCTCTTGTTTATGTCTTCCGGGTTGAGCGTTGTTGTATGGGGTTGGGGTCGATGGGTGAGCACATGCCTGATGTGTGGCTAAGGCCTGGCGCCAGTTGACATCCTCGAGCAATCTACCCCCTCATCGGGCCCTTCACGGGATGGAATATCCTAGGCCAGAAAGGTGAAAGGTTGCCACTCAGCCCCAAAGATCTGCAGCCCACATGAGGGAAGCCCGGCTCTTTTGAAGCCATCAACGCACAAATCCAAGAGGACCTCACAGTCCGACGGCCCAGGGCCCAGTCTCACAAGTACAACTTGCAAGAACTAAAGGACGATAAGCGGATATAGATAAATCTACCAGCTCTTATGGCCCCTAAAGCAATCAACGTCAATTAAGAGATTAAAAAACAATGACTGGTTATTAAGACCCCGTATAGGAAACCCTGGCAAGGGCCCTTCTATTGAGTGGCTCGACCCGGCCTCGTGAGGTGTGAAACCGCAAAGTTCCACCTGACAGGCTTTGGGTTCGGCTGTTGGGCTTTCGGGCAGGTCAGGCAGTCGAGCTCGCAGTGGTCCGAGCTTTAGGTAGAAATTGCCTCTGGGACTTCGGGTGTGAGGCTTGGGGGCTTGGGGCGTCGGGTTTAGGAGCACTACTACCACAACGACCACTGCTACAAGTAGTACTAACAAGGCTGGTAGGGTGCTTCTGAGGAGAATCATGAAGCTATGAGTGTGCTTCCTCACGGCTTGGGGAGCTGGGGATCCTTTCCCCTTGACCCCCCGGAGAATAAGGATCCTTCCCGAGCATCTATGGGAAGCTCCCCAATATGTGCTTACCTGCTTCGGGTTTGGGGGAAGAGTCGGCGAGGGGGTGACTGGCATGCCAGGATCGGCCCCAAGCCTCGACTTGCACATTCACGTCATACTACGCATAGTATTAGTATATCAAGGGACTTAGAAGGACATGTATGTACTAGGTAATAAGCCTCCGATAGTAACCATAGGGTTGTCGACCTTTTCTGCATCTGGGCTCTGCGTCTGCGTGCCGGTATGTCGCTGTAAGCCGTAGCAGACCTTCTTTATCCTGCTTTGTTCATTACTGCATGCTGTCTTCCCACCTGCCCTGGCGCCCTCAGACCTTTACTAAGCCATGCTGCGAAAAGAAGTAGTAGCTAGCAGCTTCGCTGCATTTCTATTTTCAGTAAGTTTTGTGATTGTAGCCCGGCCTGCGACGGGTTTGTGTGGCCATCAGACAATTTTGGTAGAACAACACTATACTATTGGTCAAGAGATGTTCCGATTCACCACCAGCGCTGCAGCTGGGAAAGTAGTGTAGGAGGCATAGCATCGCTTAGCAGCAAGCGGCCTCCAGATCTCGACCCCGGCGATGGTGACGGGATCGACATGTAATGAGATGCTGAGGCAGCTGTGCTGGTCGCCCCACCTCCCATGGTCCGTGTGGTGCGGTCGCCCACAGTGGTGCGGTCACCTGGAGTGGTGCGATCTCCTGGAGTTGTGGGAGGGTAGTGGGGAGAGTGGCCGATGACCTGCGGCGGTGGGCTGCAGGAGGCGTGCCGGCCCTCGTAGCCATCAGGTCTGGGGCTCCGATGCCGAGATGTGAGGAGGCATGGAGGGCTGAATCTCGCCGAGTGCTCTTCGCGGCTCGCACGTGCGTTTGGGGGCCGGAAAAGAGGGAGACGGAGGCCACCGTTCTTTTGTACCTTGGCCTCCGTCCTGCTGGGTATCTCCTCAGGCTGTCCCGCACTCATGCTGGAGTCAGATGTCCAATGCCATCGGACGGAGTTGCCACCCTTGGCAGAGGATCCATGAGCACTGTTCTCCTGTGCAAAGTCAGACAGATGTCGAAAGGCCACTCGTGCTGCTCTTCTTGTCTTCTTCTCCGATTCTCTCACTGTAAAAGAATTTCTCTTTAGAGCTTTAGATGTCTACCCAGTCTACCCCCCTTATCTCCGCTCAGTGTCTGTTGAAGCCGCGGTTATGTCTCGATGGAAACATGTGTGTGTATGCATGCATTCATGTATGTACATATGTAAGCATGCAGACACATGCACAAACCTAAATGGACAGATACATACACAGACAGATGCACAGATGGACAGATGGATAGATAGACATCCAAACAGGTAGACAAATACATAGGTCGATAGGCAGACAGACAGACAGACAGATACACGACATGCTGAATGGGCGGAGGTCCTTCAACTGGATCCTCAGGGGGAAGCAGTCCGGATGAGGAGCAAGAGTCGGGTTCACATAGACAAGCCGATCGAATCGGTCGTAGACGACATAGTCGTCGGCACTGCGGCCCTCCATGTACGTCGTGATGTCCATGTGCCAGTCCAAGCTGTACTCGATACTGATGGGTGCCTGCAAAAAGGGAGAGCTTCCGAAAATAAGGGGTACCTTATCTTGGGGTCCTTATACCAATGATCCCACTATTTAAAGTAGTCTATGAAGGTCCCCTATTTTCGGAAACTCCCAAATGACCAACGGTCTATAGGCACGAGCGCTGCCAAACTCCACAAGTAAGCATACCTCTGTTTTAGTAGTATTGGGGCTTCAGAGCCTGATGCAAAACCATAACCCACAGTATATTGCCCATACTTTATAATATAGGTTGTATAGTATATATAACACACACATAAATATAAATATAAATATAAATATAAATATAAATATAAATATAAATATAAATATAAATATAAATATAAATATAAATATAAATATAAATAAATAAATAAATATATATATATATATATATATATATATATATTTAACATAGTACCTGGTGGCTCTAGCCCCTGGCCTGTTGGGCTTCAGATCGGATAGGTGCTGGCATGTTGGCGTCGCAACCTGGGGGGGGGGAAGCACAGAGACTCTCGAGGTTTAGGGTTTGGGGTCTACGCTCTCGCACCTCGGACACACCAGCCCGAGAGTTTAGGGTCTATGGTCCAGGGTTCGGCTCGCACTGAACCTTAAACCCCAAGAGCTTAAATCTGAAGTGGCATTCTCAAAAAACAGAAACAAATCCATCTTTGCAAGGGCCATCAACCCCGTGGGCGCATGGCCCCCCCATGTGTTATGGGGATTTGTGGGAGTGTGACACAACAACTGGTCCCCCCTGAACGGTCAAGCGAGATATATTGGACTATGAAGAGCTGTAGGGGTGTGCCACTCTCTCTCTTTCTCTCTCTCTCTCCCTCTCCCCCTCCCTCTCTCTGTTTAGAGGGCACTCAGTTGCCTGTCAGGCCTCACGAGCCTCCTCGCAACGGGTGGTGGTCCCTAAGCCCGGAAACCGAATGTTATGCCGCCACCCTCACAAACGAAACAAGATAACAAACATCTTTGCCCATGTCGAATCACTCACGTTGAATCTGCATGGCGCCCAAAACCCTGGACCCCAGACCAAACGCCCATGATCCTGAACCCTAGACCAGAAATGCCAAGAACCTGTACACCTAAACCCAACCCTAAACCCGGGACTCGAAACCCCGAAGCAACAGCCAGAGGAGCCCATAACTTCATAGACAACAGTCGGCTCTTGGCGACCTTTGACCTGACATACAGTGGACGCTCTTTGGGTTTGTAGGACTTTATGGTCGAGGGTTTAAGTTCATGTTTGGGTTTAGGCCTTAAGTTCTTGTTCAGCTTCTTGTCTAGGTTTAGAGTTTAGGGTGTAAGTTCTTGTTTGGGGTTTGGGGTTTTGGGGTTTACGATGGTTTAGGGCTTGGCCAGTATACCTGCAGCGAGCCTGCTTTCTTGGGTCTGTACAGAACGAAGGAGCCCTAAACTTGTGGGAGTTTCCGAAAATAGGGGACCCTAATATGGTACAGTAGGATCCTTATTATAAGGACCCCAAAATAAGGTACCCCTATTTTCGGAAACTCCCATGTAGGTATTTGGGACTACAGCTCAGGTTGCAAAAAAGTCGATAGGATATCTTCATAGAAAAGAGGCACTCAAAGTTCAGACTTTTATTCAATCAGCAGTCTGGGATCTCAAAGTAGCAAGTTTACTGTACTTGATGAGCAATATGTAGTACGTAGTAGTTCTGTAATGGCAACTCACATTAAGCTCCATACCATGAACCCATTTGAAGAGGGCTCATCTTTGGTTTTAAACACTTCGAGGGTGTACCCCGAGCAACGATTTGGGAGTATCCGGATATAGGGGACCCTAATATAGTACCCTCAATTGTAGGATCCTTACTCTGAGTATCCCAAACTAAAGTACCCCTAATTTTCGGAAACTCCAGTTTGTGAACCGGTACAACTACCCTTAACTGCTATCCCAGATTGCCACCTAGAGCAGCGCAAACGCTGACATGGTGCATGCAAACATGGCAATCACAGCAGGGAGACTTCATGATTTCATGCCATGACATGACAGAGTTTGCGAGCAATGCTTGCCGTCTTTTTACTTGGAGTTGACGGGAAAATACAAGGGCCCAGGGCCGGGGGCCTGGGTTTAGGGAAATGCTCTTGCCGAGCTTCTTGGACCGAAGAAGGCCCCAAACTTTACCCTCTACGAAAAACCAAAATCCTAAGCCCGAAACAGTGACAAACTGTGGATTCTGGTAGGATTGAAGGAGCTTAACGACTTTCGAAGGTTTGCCTGGCCGTGCTTGGGAGCATAGAGCCCGAAACAACAACACGGTCTTGGATAGCTCATGAAAACCATACTTGTCTGCATGACTGATGCAAGATTGAACCTATTCAGGAGGGAAGCCTGTCCACTGTCACAACCTGGGAACATAGAGCCCTAGGCAAAAACTTGATATAACTCCGCAAAGAACTGTACAGTTGGGTGTCTCATGAGAACCAGCAGGATCGGCTTGATTGGTGCAGGCACAAAAATCAGGATTCAATCTACTCCGGACTCAAAAACTCCCGACATGAAAACCTTCGTCTGAGCGACGAACCTACACAGCGAATCAAAGACATTTCAGCATGCTAACCTTCCGAAAGCCACATCCTGGACGCAAGACCCCTAAACTCCCTCTTCGACACACCAAAGCTATGGTGACTTGGCCTGGAGGTCTCCGATCTTCCGACAGACCATGCCCCGCAACTGTTGGTGGGTGGCATCAGAACACATGACCTGCTGTGGCTTTTTGGTATATTGAGGGGTTTCTTAACCATAAGGATCAGTTTTTCAGGTGTTGCGAGCGGGTTGAGAGGGATTTTTTCTGGTATTTCTCGGCCTTAACGTTTTGCCGTCGAGAAAATGATCTATCTCTGTCACTGTCGTTATCCCTCTCCCTCCCTCGCCCGCAGATCGTTCAAACGAGACATGCCTCAGCCTCGGGCCCAACAGCAGTAATAATCATGCCAGCAGCAATGACAACAAAACTCTTACTGATAATGCTAACAAGAATAACAGCAGTGATACAAATAATAGCAATGATTATACTCATAATAACATACGAACAATATAGTTCAAGGACACTTCGCAGGCGTTTACACCCACCCTGAGACTCAGCTTGCAGACGCGATGAGTTTGCCATTCCCGCATATTGCACAGGCTCACAAGACCCGTGCTCAGCAACTCGCAGGAAACCCTGGCGACCTGCAAAACGACGGGCCTAAATAATTACCAATACTGGATCGGTGAGCTCTGCTTCGTTTCACCTTTGCATTTTTGGAACGAGCCATGCTTGGCACTTCAGTCCATCAGGAAACAGGAATACTGTTTTGCGGGTTCCTTATTATGACTATAGTATAATATACCCCCAAACCCTATTCTACTCGTTAAGGCACCTACATGGGCTGCATCGAAAGCTTTTATGCTTCGACTCTTTCGCCTCCGAAGCCCCGGCAGCAAGACACGTACAATCACAAGACGCTGTCCATAGAGCTTGAAAACAGTCACTGATTGAAACCATAATGAGAAGCTTCATATATTCTGAAAGATATTCCGTGATTGAGGGGTTTCGAAAGGAAAAGCGCCAGGTCAGTGCAGCAAGCCTTCGAAACAGTCGTTGAAGTCTTCACAGGGCCCACGCATCAAGCCCAAGCTTCAGGTGCGCTTTCAGAAAAGAGGGGCCCCGCTAATATAGGGGCCTCAACAACTGAACATGGTTTTGGGATGCTTCGGGGTGTATTACATATAGTGGAATAAAATCAGGAACACCGAAAGCCTTAATAATCAATCTGTAATATACCGATGGCACTAGTACTAACATTCATGAATGCAATACTGGTAATAATAATAATGACAATAACGCTAACCAACATATTTGTTGTTGTCTGTGTAATAACAAAGACTACACAAAAACAAGGTAGCACTACAATCATACGAACACAAATAACCCTAGCAGCAAGGCCAAACGGAAGACGGAGGCCTCACGGTCGTAAATTCGGCAGAGCCCCTGGCGGCCGCTGGTAGGCTTGATAACTTTGGGTTGATCCAGGGCGATAAGGATTTAAATAGGGCGGAAACAGGGTTCAATCTTTAGTTTACGTAGTGTGATGCCCAGCAGACAGCAATGCACCCTATCCCACACATGAGCCGCATAGGGTATGGGAAACCGAAGACACAGAATGAAGCGAGCCTGCAACCGGCTTGTGAGGTTCATGGCATCGCCGATGCAGCCAAACCTCAAGTAACAACTTCTTCTCTCAAAATCTCACCCATGAAGTCTTAATTCTGAACCGTACGACCCTACACCAGAAAGAACCTTGATTCACAAATCTTAACGATACGACCCAAATTTTTAAGCCACAAGCACCAACAAACTTATCCCTGGATGCGACAAACCTACAGCTCTAAAGTCTAAAGCCGTCATGGATTACAACTGGCAGTGCTTGGAGTGTAGGGCCCATCAGAACCCTTGGCAAATCCCAACTTGCAGCTTCAAACCTGTGCACATCCTCGACATGCACACCTGCGAACCTATGCCCAGATCGTTTTGGCAGAGTCGCCGAATCGCCCAAGGGACGAGCCCAGAAAAGTCGTCTGTCCGTTTATCATTCGAACCCTAAACCTTACCTTCAGAGCAAGAAGCCCCCAGCACACCTCTAGTTGAGTAATGTAGGGGCCTGAACAATTAGAACAGGGTTTTGGGTCCATTATACCATAATTATACCAAGGAACCCCCAAAATATTGGTAATTATTTAGGCCCCTACAGCCCCTAGAGTAAGACGAAGGAGCTCAAGTCCTACACCAAGCACAGGCTTCCCTAAACCTAAATCTCCAGCTCAGCAAATCTACTCCTTTGCTTGCAGCTCCCAGAATCGGCGAGCCATTGAAGGCAAAGGGAGATAGAGAGAAAAAGAGACAGAGAGAGAGAGAGAGAGAGAGAGAGAAAAAGACAGAGAGAGAGAGAGAGAGAGAGAGAGAGAGAGAGAGAGTGTGAGAGTGTGAGAGTCAGAGCGAGCGAGGCAGGGAGGGAGCGAGGGGAGGAAGGGAGTGAGAAAGAGAGTCGTGGAAGGCCGAAGGCCTAAGGCTTGCATGTGGCAGCCCGAGTCACTTCATCTTTGTGTGGCTGCCGATGTTGCCACACAGGACTTCCCCAGTGTGGATGCCGACGCTGAGCTGCAATGAGCTTTCTGAAAGACCTGCGGACACCGTTCTGTGACTTCCCTCCCCGAGACTGCATCCCAAAATTAGCTTTGGGATTATGCTCTTGGAGCTGTGGTTTGCATCGGGGGTGAACCACCACAGTCAGGTTCGCTATGGCGGCCTCTAAGACTTTCAGGCCTGTCTTGATAGAAGCTTGCGGCAACAAGAACCCGCACAGTTTGACCAGCCCCGCCGCTGCCTCTCTGCCACATATACAGACAGATTGGTTGCAACAACGAGGACATGTCGCCACGAGTTGAACGCTTCCGGAAGCACTGTGCTGCACTGTTGCCATATGCAACGTGATGCAAGATTTCTTGACAATCACGTTCCCAAACGATTCCACAGCATCTTAGTACACTTAGACGTGGATTTAGTGCGCCATAATACAACATCCAAATCTAGCCTGACAGAAAATAGAGGGCCCTGATAGAAACAACCTGAGATAGTAGGATTTTGGAGAAGCCTTACTCCACATAGTGTTACACAACGGAACAGTACTTGGAGGCTCTGTTGAGTTAGCAAAGGCCAAAGCTGTACAGGTGTTCCCAGGGATAGCTACGGAAACTTCCTATTTCCAAAGAGCCTACCTACAGGCACACCCTACGACGAGTACTACCTGGTGTGCTGGACCCGGCCCTTTGCAACAAGAGCTGCATGGGGAACCCCAGAAATTCCCAGTTCAACATAACTCCCCACTCGTCCCGAGCCGCCTAAGCTCTCCAAGTGATCTGCGATGTCGGCACGCAGCAATGTCATACCCTGCCCACAGGCAAGTTGGTGTGCTGCAGAATGATACCCTTGTGGCAAATCTGACAAAGCCCAACTGCAGAGTCTGCCGGCTGCCAACATGTCGGAATTCACCTAAAACATCCGACGGAAGAGTTAGGCACTTTCGAGGTTTCCATTCCCCGGGCTGCGGACATCATGAACCGGAGGATCCGAAGGCCTTTCGCTGTTGAAGGGCGCATTCGCAGGCTTTCGTCGCATGGTCCTCGATGTCGCTGGAGGCCTGGGAGACAAATCCAATATAGGAGCCTTAACAATTAGAATAGGGTTTTTGGGGTATAGTATACTATAATTTTCCTAAGGAACCCCCAGAATAGTATGGGTAATTAATTAGGCCCCTATAGTACCGGCCGTTTCTGCCGGTCATGGTGGCTGATTTCTGTCAGGGGGCTGAACTGAAGCAGCCATTATCGGGGTGTATAGCGACATAATGTGCAATAATCTTGCACATACCCAAGTATGGAAACTCGAACTGAGCTCCTTAACCAGAACTCTTGTACTGGAGCCGTGTGTCAGAGCCCGGTAATAGCTGGTTTCTCCGAACACTTGGATATACAAACGCAAAGGCTTTCAAGCGACTCCAACGCTCCTCAGCTTAGGTGTATTGCTCAAAGTAAGATATGGTTGCACGAGCAAGGCTCCTCTAACAAATAGTGCTGTAGTGTACACACAGGCTTTTCCCGAAAACCCCAATACAATGGATCCTTGACTACGGGAAAGGTTGGAGGTTTCTGAGATTCTGCCGAGGCTCATTCCAGTAGACCAAGAGGCCGTCGTCAAGAATCTCTCCTTTTTGCAGAAGCTCCAATTGCTTTGGCCCGCTTGTAGGGATCCGTTCTAAGCTTCGGGCATAGGTCTAGGCTCCTCGCTAAAAAGAAAACTTGTCGTATTGGTACGGGTCGGTAGGGGTCATGACATGTAGTTGTGGAAGTAAAAGAACAGTGTCCGGGACGACATCTGTACGGGCATCTGGTTCTCATCAGTCGTAACTGTTAGATCCATGGATGCATCGGAGAGGATGTAGTGAAACGGATACGACATGTAACGTGCAGGCAAAAGAACTGCGCAGACAATGAGATACGAGTACCACAATCAGGCCACAAACTGTGTGTTCTGGATGTGCTATAGCAGCCTACATAACTACCAGAATCATTGATAATATTCCTCGGAATCCCATTACGGTTAGACCGTTAGACTGAGATTCTAGTTTCTAATCCCCCATGATCCCCCCTGTGACACTGTGGTCGGGCATTTGTTTTGGCCAATTGGCACAGCAGGGAACGGTAGTAGGAAAGCATGCAGGTTCATGGTCCCATCGTCCGCTGAAACTAGAACCATATGGGTTTAGGGAGAAGGGTTTAGGCACCGAATGAACTTAACTTCGATTCAAGCTCCGGTTTCACTTATGACCCTGTCGGACCCTGAACCGCACAACAAGTAAGTTTCCCTGACGAGTGGCCAATGGAGCCGTCATTCTGCTCCACGATGGACGTCATGATGATGTGGAACCTTCCGAACTCCGAGTATAGCATAAAACAAGCATAGGGTCGACAGGCTGCATCCTACGCAAAGGTTCGGTAGACATAGGGCACCTGAACGGGCACACGGTACACTGCCACCTTTTTTGATCTTTGGGCAGCAGCACCGGCAACTCTTTCGAGTTGGCTTCGGTGAGGCTCCTGAACCCCAACCCAGGGTTCTTGTTAAGGGATTTTATGTAAGTTACCATCATACCATGCCATTTACTATTATGGCAACTTAAATTTGAATATGTCAAATGCTTTAACAAAGCCACAGTACAGGTCTTCAGTGCTCCAGGGAGGTCAGAGTACAGAAGCCATCCTACCCACCTGAGATGCAATGTGAAGAACTTTCCCTCCAGACTCAGACATCATACATGACCCAGGCCCTCCAACCGTAAATTTAAAGTCAACGGAAGACTACTCCCTGACCCCTGAACTTTGCAAAACCTGCCCCCAAAGCCCATGTCCGAAAACACAAAAAGTCAAAACCTTTATGACAACATTTAAGGCAATAGGGGTTTAGGATTTAGTGGCCTCTTGATCACCTCGGCCACCTCCTCCTCGCTCAGCTTCAAACGGTTCAAGTCCCGGATCCCGGAGAACATGATTGTGACCTTGGAGGGTATTAGTTATAGGATTCCCTTACAATAAAGGGTCCTACGGGCCTACTATAGGCGTTCTAATACGGTTTTTTCTTAAGGGAAGGATTTCTGACAAAAAAGGTCTTAAACGGGTCCTGCGAGGGTTTTTAGGGCGTGGGAGTTTAGGATTTCTAGAGAATGAGCGTCCTGTAAGGCTCGAGGGTTTTACCACATAGGGCCGAGGGATTTTAGGGTTCAGAAAACTCGCATTTCGGCTCGCAGGATTGGGTTTGTGGCTTGGTGCTCAAATCTCAGGATACAGCAGGGTTTGGGGTTGGGATGTGGGCCTAAGATCGTGCAAGCTTACATTAAAATCGTAGTATCTATTGCTAGAGCAGCAATCTCCATTTCCAACGCCTCCAGGCCTGGATAGGATTTTGGGCTGAGGGTTTTTAAGATTCAGGCTTGCTGTAACTCCTACAGAGTCTGGCTCTCCGGCAGTGAGATTGAATTAAAGCACCCGACACCCCAAACCGCACTTGTGCCGAATCCCTAGCATCCCGTAGCCACTGAGGCTGCGGCCACGCGATGCTTTACATGGAGTCGCGTTGCTCCACACTCTCCATACACGATGCGGTGCACGACTGCCTTGCAGGTCTTGACCGCAGGGTTTCTAACACGCCCAGTAGATTTCGGAAGCTTCAATGAGACTGGAGGTTGAAGGTGAACCTGCTGTAAGGACCGTTGGGGCAACGACACATGAAATCTCTCTATTTACATAGACAGACATGTATTTTGATAATTTCTAGACACCATGCATGTATACAGCCCTACCTACTTACCCATCCGTCTTTCTGCCTGCCTGCTAGCTAGCGGTCTACAGATATGCGGATATGTAGATGTGTCTGTGCTTTTGTGTGTGTGAGAGAGAGAGTATGTGTGTACATACATACAAACATATATATATATATATATATATATATATATATTCTACACACACCGAAAAGCCACTACAACGACGCTGGCAAATACAGAAAAACACTACTGCCAGCAAGGCATCCAGAGGGGAGCAACAGCGGCACCCCTAAACCTAAGACGAAACCAACCATGAACCCTTGCCAAACTTGAAATCCTTAACCTTAAACCCGAAACCCCAAAATCCGAACCCTAAAACCCTAAACTAAACTCAAAACCCGAAACTCTCAAGCCCCAAACCCCTAAACCCGAAACCCTAAACCTCTAAACCCTAAATTTTGAAACCCTGAACCCCGAAACCCTAAACCCTCAAGCCCTAAACCGACCCACCTCAGGGATGAAGCGCGAGAAGGCAGAGATGCCACAGAGCAGCTTTCCTTGTGAGCTTCGGGCATTCTCCGCGTTGAGGATATCGGGTTTAGGGTTTAGGGAATACGATATCGGGTTTGGGTCGAGGGGAAGTTTAGGGTCACGACTCAGGCTGGTCAGAAGGTACTATAATGGTCATTGTTACCATACGGATTTTTTGACGGTGGGGCTCTAACAAGAATGCACGATCCGCAAACCGAAAGCCCCTTCGAGCCTCAAATGTAGGCAAACATTAGCACTATCAGTCTGATGTCTCCAATCCAAGGCACTAAATGAGCACTCATAGGCTGCCACATCCTTGATGCAAGGACCTTGCTTTGGCAGGGTTTTGGTGGAGGGCGTTTTCATTTGTGGCAAAGTAGCATGAAGGTCAACATGCAGCCAGTCCTACTAACCCGAAGCCCTACAAGCACGGGGAGCGGGGCAAAATGAGGAACGCCCAAGCTCATGGTGTTCTAAATCCAAAGGGAGGGGCTGATTCAACTCGGAGTTGTTGGGACCTGGCCACCAAACAGGTTACCTGTTTATCACTTGCTGGATCATGCACTGCAAAAGCCGTTAAGGCGTACAGCCATACCAACAAGACCCTAGCAGGGGCATACAACAGCAACAAGACTTCGTTGATGCCGGGGATGACGAGGGCGAGCACGACCACATGACGATGGCACGATGATGACGGCGATGATGGTGACGATCGCGATTGTGGTGATTGTCATGATGACATGATGAGGCAGATGAGCATCAAGAGGTCCATACCGGCGGCACAATGCCGCTTCATTCCTCACAGACTCCAGAAGAATCTTCAGCCCGGAACCTTAAACTTCAACTTAAAAAGGTCGCTGAAACTCATAATCTCAAGTGTAGCCCGACGCTCCAATTAAGTTTCAGAAGCGCCATCATTCATGCTTTCGAAAGCTTGAAGTCGCAAAACCAGAATTTCTGTGTCCAAGTGGCGCCCACTCCTTGGCATGAAGCCTGGGTGTGGGTTCGGGGTTTATGATTGAGGGATGGCGCCAGCAGGATGTACCGTTAAGGATTACGGGTCTGCGTGATGTCCACATGTCCTTGTGACGTTTAGCCGCTATATTTATTTTGCTACCGTGAGAATTTCCTGGGATCTATTCTTGTTTCCAAAGTATCCAGGCATGAAGACGTAGATGAATCTTGCACTTGCTGTACACATCAGTAGACCCTGGTGCGTGAATTGGGCGAGTCAGGATTGGGAATGGACGTGTCGAGGTCCCATCCTATCGTGAAGGAAAGGCATGTGAAGGCTTTGCAAGAGGAAGGGTGCCACATTGATGATGCGTTGTTGAGGTGCGGAGTCATAGTCGTGACGGCGCCTTCTTGTATTTCTGACAACGTCACAGGGGACCTCCATCAAACAGGGAAAAGACATGTGGTTGCTTGGCTGCACGGTCGAGCCTGAAACACTGCTTGCCGCATGAGATTGGGCCCTGGAATCAGCAGGTCATGGCAGTCATATAGGGCGATAATAGGGGGCTTTCATAACCACCAAATACTCACAACATCCTGTGGTTCAAAAGGTATGCTGCCTTTGCACCACATTCTGCCACGCTGGAATGCACATGCTTCTAGCTTACACGTTGGGAAAATGAACTGCTCTCTCCAGGGTCTGCGAATGCTCGAGCTTGAGACTTTTCGTTCGGATGTGGTTGGGCTGATGCTTGAACAGGTTCTCCTTACTTCCAGGCCTGCCAAGGAGACAAGGAACAGTCAGGATCGCGAACGATCTCGCTGAAGCGCTGCATATCATTGCCTCGGATTTTGGCCGAAAACCATGCCGAAAGCAAAATCATCGGTTGCCTGGCGATTTCAGATAGTCTGAACAAAGATGCTCTATGTACCTGGCTAACAGCACTCCGTGATTAAGGAAGGCATCTTCAACTTTATACATAGGGCTTCCTATCAACGTCTCAAAGGGCATGAGTGTTTAAATGTGATACCACAGCCTGTCCAGCGGCTCATGCGCTGGAGGGGGTCCGACACCGCCCAGGCCAGCGTTCCACTGATGAACACGCAAATGAAGCCGATGCCGAAGAAGATCAGCGACGCCGAGATGCGAGCCTGACAGCGCAATTTCTGATCTACATCTTCGTGTCGCGGAGCTCACAAAATAATCCTGCACCCCATGTCCGGGGGTTCAGGGTTACATAGAGTGAAAACGGGCATCTGACTTGCTTGTGGATCTGTGGATTCAGGCCCAAACGGTGTTTGCTTGGGTATCTTACCATGATACGGGGCAAACCAATGGAACTCTTCAACCCAAGACCAAGACTGCACTCGTAGTCTAAAGAATTGGTTATCATATCTCCTGAGACACCCTGTGCACTGTCACATTAAAGACCTTCGAAAAAGAGCCTCTGGTCCCGAAGCCTGAATATCGAAGTCCCAAACACCTGAAAGCCACTACAAGATTACATAGGAAGTAGGGTCTCCCAGCAAAGCGAGAAGGGTTACGAACCATCCTACTAAGCATAACGAGACAATTTGACCCACCCATACCCTCCCTCCCTCCCACACACCTCTAACACGAGCCTTACAAGAACCCCACTAAGACCCTATGAACACCTCATTATAAAACACACTCAGTTGAACCCCCCCGACGTCACACCTCGTTGACGCTGACGTGGGTGTTGCTGGTCATGAGCTCGATTTCCGAGCTCGCCGAATGTTCCTTTGCTCTGCCGGGTCGAAATATAGAGACCGTAAATGATTAGAATGAAATTTTGGGGCCCATTATGCTTTTGTTACAATACGGAAACCCCTAAGATAGCTTTGGCAATTATTAAGGCCCCTATTTTATCGGACTTCAAAGGGGCGGGTGCCTCTCCTTTGATTCCAGCTCTATCCATCCGGGTACTGTGGACTTTCATGGGGCACCGAAACCTCGGATTTCGGCTCACAATGCGGCCTGGATGGCCAGAACAGCTTATGTTGTAGTATAGTCATATTAATTAAACCTAATAACATGATGTCGGGAATTATTCAGGCTTGAATATGTCTGAGTCTCAACCGGGGTTATCCAATGTTTGCCTTTGGGCATAAGATACTAGCCAGGCTTTCTGATCCTTCAAACGAGGTTGCCGGAGGATTTCCTGCAAAGGATCCTCATTCAGGTTATGAGGTTTGGGCTGGGGGCTTAGGGATATTGTAGGATGGTTAGGCTCTTTTGTTCAAGGACTACATGAGAGCTGTGAGCCTTTTGATCCATCTCGCTCAAGTAAACTGCTCTCTATTGTAAAGAAAATGCTTGGGGTAACAACTGAACTGTCTCATGCTCCTAACTCTGAGCAGGAAGCACTCGCGCACACGCTCCAGTAATCGCAGAGTTGCTGTTCCGTCGGGGCAGGGATCCCGGTACTTCGTTCAACCATTTCTGTGCTACCATGACAGGTTTAAGCTAACTTTTGCTTAGGCAAAGCCCGAAAAGCTTAGCTGCTGGGCTGCTGCAGTCACGACAAACTCCCATACGCGCCAATGACAAACCTGGGTCCAAGTACACCAAGGTGCTCAGGTGTCCGCTTGAAACCCCAACCTCAAAACCTCTAGACCCCGAACCGGGCCCGAAATCGAACACCCACTCCTTAAATCCAAAAGCGCCATAGAGAAGCCGCAGAAACACTGGTTAATCCGCCCCCTCACCCCCTAACCCAAATCACCCCAAGGCCCCCTAAATTAGAGCCCCCGAACTCCCCACCGAGGCTCAGAGGAGAGAGCCTTTGCATTGAGGGCGCCATCGGGCAGAACGACGACCTCGAAGGAGTTTAGGGTTCAGGGTTTGGGGTTTAGGGTTCAGGGTTTCAGGATTTAGGGGGATGCAGGGTGGAGGAATTAAAGTCCCGGGCTTAGGTTTAGCGGAGCTCAAGGCTCTCCTGGCAGGGTGTAGGGCCTGGAGTGGTGGTTCTGTTTTGCATCCAAAAACCAAAACCTCAACGCCCTCTGCACAAACTTCGGGCTCGCGGGTTTCAGCTCTTGGTCTAGAGCACAAGTGTAAAGCAGGTCGAAGCCCTGCCGTTTGCTGTCTGTAGAGACCTACCTTTTTCGGGGTTCTGCTATGGCTAGGGGTTCCGCGTAAGGTGTCTTTCTCATAAAGGATGCTTCGATCACCGGGGTATAGAACTTGTCTCTTGTTCCTGGGGCTTTCTAAACCTGCGAAGTAGGATACGGATCCTAAGAAGGCTATGGCTGAACATTTAGAATAAGTTATCGTGGCATTATGAGCTCTCAGCTTCTTGGAGCTATCAAGGAAGAGCCGCATGTCGCACTGCTTATTGCGAGTGCCCAAAACGCTCCTACAAAGGCTTCTGTCCCGTCGGCTGTCGGTCACTGCCGTTCAGACGAATTTGAAGCCAAAGGCAGTTCTGGCACTTTGAATTTGAGTGCTTGAGGTATTGAGGCTTTAGGTCCTGGTTCTTAGGGCTTCGGGTGAGTTGTAGGTACTCTGTTCTGGTACTGGGAACTGCACCTCTTTGCTGTCGGTCTTGTGCGGAGGTACTCTCCGTCGCCACTGCTTCGAATGTCGCAACTAATGTAGACCCCGAATTCATAAACCCCTTTCTCCTTCCCTGCTGCTAGATGTAAGGCATTTACAAGATCCTTACATGACGGTCCTTGGAGACAGAGTCTTCATCATCAGGGGCCTAATCATGGAGGCCGGGACTATCAACAACATCGCGCAGGGTTTTGATTGTCAGGCTGGACGGGGACACGGTGCGCCAACCTATTCCGTTCCTTTTGGCTGACCTCCGGGTTTAACCCCAAACAAACCTTAGTGGACGAGTCGCCAGAAGCCACCTGCTGCCGGTGTCCAGCTCCAACGACATGGTGCCCAGCTGCAGGCAGTCCGCACCTACGCCAGCTCCAGCTCCACATTACAATTGTTAGCCAATGAAGACCGCTATAGGAGACGTAAAGACCATATGCGAAGATGGTCGTATCAACCACTCTTTAGATGATGATCAGCACCACCATCACCATCAGCATCCTGATCACATGATGTTTACCCCCGGACCTGCAGTTCGACACGAGATGGTCGCAACAGCGGACTGAGTCGGCTGTTGCGGGTCTCCCGTACGGGGATACAAGCTTGCCTGCAAAAGCCTGCTGAGCTCTGATCCCTTACACTCCACAACCCAAAAGCCCCCAAACCCCGAAACCTCAAAGAACCCTGACAGGACAACAACGAAACCTTAAACGGAACCCCAACACCCCAAAGCGCACTAATCCGAACGGGTTCACGGCGACCCGAGCGGCCTCCCGGAGACCACAAGCCTTGCTCTTCCCTCCAGCTGCACTTCACATACCTCGCCCGGCCACGAGTCGTCGGCAGCGATTTGTTTGTCTGTAATTTTAGGGGTCTGGCGATTGCATCGGCTACAAACGAAACTGTTGGTCTGCTCAACTGCCACCAGCAACTCAAAGCAAAATCGGGTCTTGACATGGTAGTTGAGAATCAACACGGTTAGCATCACAGTTACTTTTTTTGTGGCCGTGCCGGCCCTCGCAGTGCTACAAGACAGTCGCTCCGTACCGTCTCACGAGACAACAAGCAGCTCCCCAAGGACTACCTCAAATCTACCGAGCCTGCCAACAACACATACTGTATTTTTTGGGTACGGACCCTGTAAGTTCCCGGTAGATATCATGGCTTATAAGAAGAACCTACAGCAAGTAGGTTATGGTCCAATGGTGGTCCAAGCAAGTGGTAGCAACAGCAACAAGGAGAAGCCGTGGGGCTGGTTGCGAAGCGCGGCACTTTTGCTGAAGGTCAACCTGGGGGAAAGCAGTTTGGGTTTAGGGCTTCGAGTTGCAGCTGCTTGATCCAGGCTCGAGATGGGCTACAGACGGAGTTATTCCCCGGCCCAGAAGAGGCAAAGTTGCTAGTTATTCATCAGCTCTTCACATTTTGTGCTCAGAAAGGTTAAAGGGCTAAAGGTCACTTACACAGCAGCAAAGAGACAAGTTCAGTACAAGGCCAACTCCTGGCGGCGTTTTCCGAAGCTCTTCCTGCAATTTGGTGACTGCTGGGGCTGCAGAAGCTCCTTCGCAGTGTCCAGCCGGGCTTTCGGGCTTCATCGGGAGTTTAGCTTAAGGTTAGTCTTGGGGTGCGCCTTCGTGTTTTCAATTGACTCAGTCCAAAACCGTAAAGCTAGGCTAGGGTACAAGTGCTTCGAGCAGATCCACAACATTGGGGCCTACGTAAGCGGAGCACCGCGTCTTCGTGCGGTGTACTACAGATATGCGGACGGGTTCAGGAACTCTTGCTGTTGCTAGGTATTGAAGTCTTACACTAAAGGAGCTAATTGTCCTCGCTGTCCCATCGGGAGTTCTTGGCAAGGATTGCGCGCGACGCCGCTGCTATCAGCTCCTGGCGTGACTAGCGTAAGGAGGCTCCGACACCAACCCTTTCAGGCACATCTGCGGTGTATGTTTGCAGTCTAAGTTTAATGAAGGCTTTGGAAGTATACGGACTGTGCAGACGTTTGGGCTGGCCGGATTTCTGGGTTCGAGTTATGCGAACTGCGCAGACTGCGGGGCCAGACGGATTTGCAATCTAGGCTTAGGATCACGGGCTTATCGCTGCAGCAACAACTATATCAACAGGTAACGATGATTGCAGTCGGGCATAAAGCATGCAGCTACGGTAGCAATCACCTGTGATACCCTAAGGCTGACGTTTGTAGTTCAAGGTTAACGACAAACTCTACCACCCTCAACCCTTGATCTCCTTGTCCCTACATCTGAATCTCACTCCAACGTCCCCGGACCCATACTCCGATGAGAGAGACCAGCGTTCAGACGCGGCGGCGCTCAGCGAATTCGGCCTATGGAATTCATAGGTCGCCTTTACCGTAGAAGCGGCCAGTGGGGATACCCTGCTTTTGAGTAGATCCTGACCCAAGAAGTTGAACCCTACAACCCCTCTAAATCCCCTATGCCTCCTGAAGCCCTTGAAGACGCCCCCCCTGTATTTGGCAACTTGCGACTCAGGCTTCTTGGCCGGCTGCAAGTCAGGAGAGAGCCGGACACCGAAACCGGAAATTTTTCACTGAATCCGAAACCTGGAACCTAAATCCCCAAATCAACAATCCTAAACCCAACAATTCCAAAGCCTTGAGTTCAGAATCCGTGAAGCGCCGAACCTGAAAAGCCTGGGCTGTCGTGTATCCTCATGGGGATCACTTTGGCTGATCTCCGTGGCATTGCGGAAGACGTGCTTGGAGGAAGGATTGTGCGCCGTGCCCAACAGCGTCCCAATCCTCGGTCGAGGACACACCGAAAAAATCGGGAAAGCTTTCTCTGTAAGCCTTGGTGGTTCTTCAAGTGAATTGCCAGAAGTGCAACGCAAGACCTTGTGTTGACTATGCAACTCTACTGTGGTCACTATTTCTGAGTCCCTGAACACCAAGCCTACTTACAGCGCCTGGCTTCTCGGAGAAGTTTGGAAAACAAAGATCAGAACCTAACTTATCCGATAGTCTTTCTCGTGGGCTAACCCTAAACCTCTACAGCAAAGCTAGGGCTGATCCGAGCACCTCCGCCGAAAACCCTGAAATCTGAAGCCTACTTCCCACTTCGCGGCCTGGCAGCTACATTGATTGAAAACCCGCACACCAAGACCCTAGCATGCCCTGCAAATCCAATCTGAGCCACCGAATCTTTAGAACAGAGTCTGCATGCGCAGATGACACTTCGGCAGCTTCCGGAGGGTGTTGGCGATTTTATGCCAAAAGCAAGTATAAGCCATAGAACAGCCAACCCACCACAAGCACTGAAACACATGCTGCACGCCCTCGTCGGCCCACATGAACGTATTGCAACCAGGACCTTTTTGCTGCAAGGCCTGTTGAAGTCTTGCCGGGGAAGGGCGAATGTCGTAGCACTCGTGGCTACTCACGCTGACAGCTTTAGCAACAGCACTATCAGAAAGGAGGCTTAACCCCCAAACCCCAACCTCCTAAGCCCCCAAACCCCAACCTCCTAAACCCTAAGCCCCGGAACCCTAAAGCCCTATTAACCCTAAACCCTACGGACATGCGGTGCAGTTTGCGAGGCCAACAAGTTTCACGCCAAGGCTCTGTTCTGGAAAGCGATCGGACACATGGTTTACAACGAAGATGGAGGAGTTTCCTTCCTGAGGCGGCACAGAGCGGTCTCGAGTTTCAGGCCCACCTTTTGTTCCTGTGGGGTCTCTATAGATTAGTGGGGTACATAATACGAGCCTACCTAAACGTTGCAGTAGTTGAAGGTACGGTTTAAAGTGTGGCTGGAGCTCAAGTCAGGAAGGTGCTGTATCAGCACGATTCTCATCTTCATAACCCGCCATGTCCTCATCACCATAGTGAGGTATCAGCGAATTCTTCTGCTACAATAAGCAGAGCTTCGGGTAACCCGGGTATAAAGCTTAGGGCAGTCTGATATGTTCAAGCTTGCGAGATGGGATCCTTGCTATGTCTTCGACGGGAACGACAACCATAAAGATTTGCCATGCGGACTTTTTGGAGGGTTTGCTTCACAAGCCCTTCATGCACCTCTCGGGAACACAGTCGCACCGGGTTTCACCAGGTGCTTTGGTTTTCTCTTTAACCTACCTGGAGCTTCGCGATGGCCCCTCGGCAAGAAGGGCAGATCAGTCTCAGTTCAAAGTCAAGGATGTGCAGACCGACACATGCATCGGGGCAGGGGTGGCGAGTGCGCCCGTCAATGCTCACACCCGCTGGTTGTGGAACAGAAGGGCGATGAAATTTATATAGCAGCAAATGCCACACAAGCGAAATCTACCGCACATCTTCATCAACTTCCTGGCAGCTGAGCTTCTCCCAAAGGGTAGTTGTAGCCGGAATGCAGCATCTGGCTCAGCTTAGCGAGCTCTTCTGTGCAATCTGTGCTGACTGTGCCCAGCATGACGTCCGCCGAGATGACACCACTGAAACAACTGTAACCTGCAAGCAGGATCGGGCAAACACCAGCTTTGCTTCTGACACAACTGGCAACATCACGTCTTGGTGGCTGCTGTCGCGAAGTTGACATCATGTTGGTATGGTGGGTAGTCAGACTGTTTTTCTGACGGTGGTGCGCTTATGAGCCTCCGCCTCTGAATACGTGCATGCTCGGGCAAGCTGGCAGAATTTATTAGCTACAAGCATGTTGGTCGGAAAAGTGCACTACCGCAAGTGGAGTGCGCTTCTGCTACAGTAGCAACCCTCGTGACACACTTGGCGGGGAAGCTTCATGCTGTGATGATCTGGAGTTAGTTCAGTTTGCTCAACCATAATAGCCGACGTGCCACAGCCGTGGCACAAAACGTTTCACAAGGGCTCGAACAAATTTTCTCTGGTGGCAGCAGAAGGACCGAAGGGCTCCAGAAATAGAACTATGGAGCCCTACAGTCGGAGATATCTGGGCTTGGTTGTGTTCAATCGAACTATGATATTGTCGGGGATCGGTTAATCCGATCACGACTTGGGTTTGGGAGCCCCTTGGGCGGCTGGATAAGACAAGCACAACGGATTTTTGAAAAAAAAACAAACAGTTTTGACCCTTTTAGCTGGGCTAAAACCCAAAGCCTGCATCCTAAATCGTAATACAACCCCTGCAGGACAGATCCGAGGCTTCCACTTCCGCAGTCGGAGATGGGTGCTGTCCATGACATTCGCGTGATGCCATCTGCGAACTGGTAGAGCTTCGACCTCAATGCTTTGGGACGCTACTACCTACTTGTCGGGTATCATGGGGAGCTAAAGGTTAACCTATTTGGTTATATTGGGGTTATATAGGGACTATACTTCCCAAAAACGGCTACTACTAGGACTACCCCAGGCTTTTCAAATTTTAAGGCTCATGAGGTTCAAGTTTCTTTTGCTGACGTTGTCAGAGGTTGGGGCTTGCGCCTACCGTCTTGCCTGGACAGCCATAAGCTCCAGACCCTAAACCCAACAAACTGCAGCGGGGAATGCCCTGAAGCCCCCGACAAACCTTGAACTCCAAAGCCCCAAGCCAAACTTCACATTCAGAGACCTATAGGTTTGGCTAATAGGTTGAGGGCTTTCGGCAATCCGTGCCAGGCGTCTGAGTGCGAAGGTCTGAAGCAGCAGGTTTTAGGGCTCAGAGTTCTGGGGGGTTTACAGGGTTTAGGGGGCTTAGTGTTTCGGTGCAGGGGATCTGTGAAAACTCAGGGCCACGAACCGATCCAGTAAATAGAACCCCAAAAACGTATCTTGCGGTTCTATGGGGTAAGGCATTGTGTGTCTGCTGCGAGTGTGTGTGCAGGCGTTTCCGATGAGCCAAAGCACCACATCTTCTGGGCTTCCATGGGAGACGAAGAACGCTGGGCCTGGCACAGGGAGAATACCCAAAGCGTTCAAGAAGCACACAAACCTTGCGGAGTCTAAATCTCCATGTGTCCAACCGGTTCCGCATCTGAGACGCTGGGGAGAATTTCGCACTATTGGCCTAGGTCGGTATCCACATTTTGCAAGAACGAAGAATGGTTTCAGAAATAAGCGGCCAAATCCATGTATCAACGCTTGCAAGATGCTGGCTTGGCGGAGTCCCGTAAAGAAGCTCTACAAACACTGTTTAGTTTTGAAAGAGAGATAGAAGGTTTTTTGCGGCTTAGGGGTTAAGCCATTTAGGGCTTTGGGCTTCTGGGCTCTGGGGCGGTGGTACGCTTTTCCCTAGTTGTTGAGTTCCCTTACGCCGGAGGGTTACATAAACGTGATTGTGACCCAGAAGGTTCCTTCTCGTCACAGACATTTTTGCAGCGAGGCCCAAGTCCAACACCCCAGACTCGCTGGGTGACTTCGGAGATGCTCAAACAACAGGAATACAAAGTAGCAACTGCAGCAGCCGTGCTGGTGGTGACATAGGCGTTAGCATTTAGCGGCTATCGCAGCAGCAGTGTAGTACATATATAAACATAAATAAATAAATAAATATATATATATATATATATATATACATAGAGAGAGAGAGAGAGAGAGAGAGAGAGAGAGAGAGAGATGTGGCGGTATTGCCAGTAATTGTCATCAGCTGTGTCGTAGCAGTTGGTGTAGCGGCACCTTGTCCAACAGTCAAACTGCCAAGCATGTAAAAGCCAAAAGAAAGCAGACCCAGACGGACGAAATTGGGACACGCCGGCCCTAGGACAAGAAGCCACGAACGACAGGTCCTTCCTGGAAGCTGGGTTCCAGCTTGGACAGAATGTGAGAGAGAAAGAGAGAGAGACAGAGAGACTTTATGAATGGACTAGAAATACGGATCATAGTCAAAAGACCAGTCATAGTAGTAATCACAACAGTACTTAGAATCATGGCGTTAGCATTAGCTAATGATCGTATTCGTACTAACCAACATGACAACTATCGTAACAAGAAGGGCCTCGTCCGCATATTGTTGCTGGACTTCGAAGCCGGGGACCTGGGAGAAACGAGCTGAAGAGTATTCACACCTAGGGTCGAGCTGTCGACGGCTTCGGTTTCTCCGAGGGGCGATATGTGGCTTTTGAGGGGTTCAAGGGTTGGGAGGTCTAAGATCTATTTAGGTGCTATTTGAAGATGTTGCTACTTAGGTTGTAAGGGTTCATTGCGCAGGTTTCCTTCAGGTTGCTGGATCTAGGCTACTAGTCAGGCTAGTCAGGCTCTCTGTCAATGTTGAACCTTCGCGCTCTCAAAATCGCGTCCGTTGCCGCCGAACTCCGATTTACGTCTGGTTTCAAAGAATCATTTTTACATCAGGCTCTGCGGAGAGAGACAGCCAGTCTCGACTGCCCACCTGTATGAAGGTCTTAACTTAGAGATTTCAAGGTTACCGCATTAAAGCAAGATGCCCTAAATCCAAGGATAGAAACTGTATATGCTGTCAGATGTACTCCTTGGGGGTTAGAGGCTTGAAAGTTTCAGTCTCTGGGTGTTTACAGGCCTAAGAACTTGTCTTCCTGACTGCCCTGACGAAACCTTAAACCCTAAACCCCAAAGCCAAACCCTCCCCCCAAGCCCTTAACCTAACCCTAAACCCTAAACCCTAAACCCTAAAGCCCCAAGCCCTTAACCTAACCCTAAACCTTAAACCCCACACCCTGAAGCCCCTAAGCCCAAAGCTAGAACCCCTCCCCGCCCCAGCCTTTCTCCAGTTGTGCTGCAGCACCAGCAGGGGATCGCCCACCTCGAGAAGCAGAAGCCGAAACTTATACGGAGAGCTTCCGAAATCCAGGGGTGCCTCATCAGGGTTCCTTTAAAGCGTTACTATAAGGGAACGATAAGGGTTCGTTTAGAAGGCTACTAGAAGGGTTGGGAGTTTGCGAAAATTAAGGATACCTAATTATTTTGGGGTCTTATTCTTGAGGGTACTATATTAGGGTCCCCTACTTTCGGAAACTCCTATATTATAGTATACCTATAGCCTCGATTGTAGTTGCGTTTTGTGGTTTAACCAGTTGTGTACTCTTCGAGGGTTTTATCCTAAGGTAACCCCCAAAACAAGACTGCGATGGAGACTATAGGTAGTGAAGTATAGTATGGCTTGGCACGTTCTAGAATATTATGTAACATATCATATAGTCTTGAGATCCAGCAAAAAGGGTGCCTGTGCAAGAGTGTAGTAAGGGTACTCTGAGGATCCGACACGGTGCCACAAGGCTTTAGGCTTCCAGAGGGTTCCCCTAAAAAAGTACAGTAATCGGGTACTATAAGGGCTCTAAGCCCTAAGGATGTAAGGCTCGCGGGTGTTCGAGGTGTCACCCTGAGTTTGTTTGCGACATGAACCGTAGCGAAAACGGCCGCTTGGAAACACCGAGAACAAAACCGCAAACGTACGGACAGCTTAGCTTTGCACACCTACACCCTAAACAGAACCCAAAGCCTCCAAGCGCCGCCTGTTCAGCGGCCTGTTAAACATGTCCGGTAAACACGCCTGAACAACACTCCAAATCAGATAACCTACATAGGCTTTCGACAGATGGATAAATGGATGGCTGGCTGGCTGATGGATGGATGGATGTGTATATGTACATACACATGTGTGTGTATATGTACACGTATACCTATATATACATATATATATACACATAAATTAGGGCGCCAGCAGGTTGTAAACCTGAAGCGCTTCTCAGGCCCCCTCCAAAACGCCATATACACCCTCGCAAAGCCTTTGAAGGCCTTTGTACACCCGGTATGAATGTCACGGAAACCCTACAAAGCCCATCCCAAAATTTCTAATCCCCCCTTGAAAGGTCCTCCTAAACACTAAACCAACATTGAACCGCCAAGTCAACTCTTTACAAACCCTACAGAAATAAACTCTTAGTAATTGAGCGAAAAGGCCAACTGATACAAACCCCAAACCCGAAAGCCTAGACCCTAACCACTAAACCCAAAACCCTATACCCAAAACCCTTACCCCTAAACCCACATTCTGAGAAGCCGGCGAGACTGCCCGTTGATGCGTCGACCCCGCGGCTGACGAGAGTAGTCAAACCACTCTCGACCGCCGGGCTGTCGGACCTTCGATCTCAGGTTCTTAGGAAGGAAAGGTATACCTACGTATGTGTATATACATATATATATATATAACACAGCATCACTCCATCTATCTATTTCTATCTAGCCCTCTATCTGTCAGTCTATCTATGTATCTATCCCTCTATCAGTTTGTCTGTCTGTCTGTCTGTCTATGCCTCTATCTGTCTATCTGTATACACACATCAACACTAGTAAAAGTCATGATAATCATGACAAGAAGAAGGAAAACGATGGTATTTATACACGTACACACACATACATTCCTTTTGCAATATCAATCCTTCGTATGGCCCTTACAGAGACGTTGGACTGGGTGCCTGTAGGGCTTGTACGACTTTCAAATTGCTTCCAGTGAAGGTTTGATCGGCTTTTTACTATGGCTTGGGC